CCGGCCGGAGGAGCGTGGATTAATCTGCATATAGCAGCCGGCAGGCCTCTCTGCAGCACCCCGGGATTAATCTGCAGTTTGGTTCTCAAAGACGCAGTGACGTACAAAAAGGTCTGCCACGAAACAGTTTTCTTTTATGCTGCGTGGTACGCTGGGCAGGACAAGCCCAGGGGCGTCCAAAATCTTTAGCCCAAATACCACGCGCGAGGATTGCAAGTCAACCGATTGATCGTGTTGTGGTCGCCAAATAATTTTATAGTCTAGCTCCATAATTATGGATGTTGCTCTAAATATATTGCTCCCCCAAAACCATCTTACGCCATGAGAGCTGCTGTCAGGCGTCATATAGATAGATAGATGTATTATCACATGCACGACTAATAAGCTTCCATCTACTCAGTGGCTGCTACCATCTGAAATCTCTTCCCTTGTACAATAATAGTTGCCCAAAAATGTATGCGAAATTACTTCGACCCTTCAATTTACTCTCTGTGAACATCATAGCCTTCCCTTCTTCAATGCTCCCCGCTTGGTTCCCCCGGCCACGCAAAAGGGGTGGCTAGCAGGCAGTCTTACTTGCTTCAGCATATTCATTTTCTTTTCATGGTGTCAACTTGGTCGTTGAGCCAGGCTCGCTTTTAGTTGCTTACCTCTTTTGATACCACGTGTCATAACTTAAACTACTATATAGCTCACATTTTCTTGAACTTCCAACTACTAATGAGCAGCTGACATTTTCTCTGCCAGCTAACGACACCCAAAACCTACCGTGGCATGAGAGAAAGGGACTGGGGACTGCTAGCAATCAACGAAATATTTCTGCGAACTGCATGTACAACCAAAAAAACAAGCAAATAACAAACCAAAATGAGACTGTCCGGCCACACTATGCCTCGCCAATAGTTAGCATCGTATGCGGAAAAAGGATGACGACAAACAATGAGCAACAAAGGTGCCACATTGCAGCTTCGCCGCGGGTGTCCGCATCAACATGTCCAGTACTGCAAAAAAATCTGTCATCGATATTTGCGTTGGAGTTCTACGAATCAATGACAAAACAGGCGAATTCGACGGTTACACCATAAGCTTAGCCAGGAGAATCTAATTGCAATAGCCATCTGTTGGGCTGACAGCCTATATTCAGCCCACACTCTCCTCTTAATCTAATCCTAATTAACTTTAGGAGATGTGATAGTTGTATTTTGGAGGTAGAAAAAAGCATAAATAGGACAGCAACATGAGAAAAGAAAACAGCCATGAGATTCCAAAGAAAATAAAGAAAACAAGGCAGAAAAGGAAGAGAAAGAAATGGAAAAAGACAAGGACAACGCAGAGAGGCTGTTCTCAATCATCTAGCAGTGTTCTCATCTCAAGTTAGATCAAATCTACAGTAGACTTTTGCTGTGATTACTTGGGGAGGTTTTAGATATTGTAGGCAGTGACGTGATCCTTGTATCCTAGTTATTCTCTTGTGATTGTTGCTAGAGTTTAGGGCAAGAGATTGAGATTTGTATATTCATTATTCTCATAGTGGATTATCTCTAGTTTGCCCCGTGGTTTTTACCCTTCACATTGAAGGGGTTTTCCACGTATATCTTGGTGTTCTATTTGATTGTGATTCCATTTAATTCCGCTGTGTATTATGGTCTTCTAGTATTTGTTCATATACAAAGGTTATTCCTGTTATATCCCCATCAACTAGTATCAGAGCAAGGGGTTTTGGTGATTTAAATTTTGTATTTGAACATGGAGGCCAGTAATGTTTCTCGCATGATTAGTTTAAATGGAAACAATTGGATGATATAGAAACAAAAAATGGAAGATCTCTTGTATTGTAAAGATTTGTATGGACCTTTGCAGGGGATAGTGCAAAACTCATAACTACGATAGATGATGAGTGAAAGAGGTTAGATCGAAAAACAATTGGATTTATTCGACAGTGGCTTGATGATAGTGTCTTTCACCATGTTTCTACTGAAATTTCTGCATATTCTCTTTGGAAAAAGTTGGAAAGTCTCTATGAAAGAAAAACAGCTAGCAACAAAGCTTTTTTGATCAGAAAACTTGTGAACCTAAAATATAGAGAGGGTGCTTCTATTGCTAAACATTTGAATGAAATGCAAAGTATTACTAATCAGTTATCCTCTATGAAAATGTCTCTTGATGATGAGTTGCAGGCATTGTTACTTCTCAGTTCATTACTAGAAAGTTGGGAGACACTGGTGGTTTCCCTTAGTAATTCTGCGCCAAATGGTGTTGTCACTATGAGTCAAGTAACAAGCAGTTTGTTGAATGAGGAGTTGAGAAGAAAGAGTTCGGCAACATCTCAGAATGATTCATAGGCACTTATCTCAGAGAATGGAGAAAGGTCAAAGTCTAGAAGCAGTTCACGCATAGGTAGAAGCAAGTCAAGATCAAGAAAAGATATTGTTTGTTATAATTGTGGTGAGAAAGGACATTACAAGAATCAATGTAAGCAACCTAAGAAGAGCAAGAAAAAGGGAAAAGAAGTGGAGTCTATAAAGTCAATAGATAATATCACAGCCACAATGCAGGGTGGTGATTATTTGATTTTGTCTCCTTCTGATGATATTTTTTCTTGTGTGTGTCAGGATCTTGAGTGGGTGATTGACACAGGTGCTTCTTATCATGCTACACCACGGAGGGAGTTTTTTGCTACATACAGGTCTGGAAATTTTGATGTTGTCAAGATGGGCAACTATGGCACAGCAAACATCATAGGCATGGGTGATATTCATTTAAAGACCAACCTAGGCTGCAAGTTAGTGCTTAAGGATGTGAGGCATGTGGTTGACTTGATGCTGAATTTAATTTTAGTTGGAAGGCTAGATGATGAAGACTATGATAGCAGATTTCACAAAGGGTAATGGAAGCTCAGTAAGGATTCTCTTGTTATAGCTAATGGAAAGAAATGTCATACTTTGTACAGGTTGCAGGCTAAAGCTTATGGTGAGCAATTAAATGCTACAGAAAAATACTTCAGCATGGAGTTGTGGCATAGGCGACTGGGACACATGAGCGAGAAGGAGCTGTAAGCTCTTTCCAAGAGAGAGGTATTACCAGACCTCAGAGGTATACATCTAAACCCTTGTATTGATTGTTTGGCAAGTAAACAACATAGAGTTTCATTTGCTAGTCCTGCTTTGTCTAGAAAAATGCATGTCTTAGACCGTGTTTATACAGATGTATGTGGTCTTTTGAGAACAAAAACTCCTGGTGGATCTGTTGATGTAAGTGGTGCACTTTATTTTGTCACTTTTATAGATGATTTTTCCAAGAGAGTTTGGGCCTATGCTTTGAAGACTAAAGATCAAGTGATTAATGTCTTCAAAGAGTTTCATGCCAGGTGAAAGGGAGACAAAAAGGAAACTGAAATGCATAAGATCAGATAATGGTGGTGAGTATACAGGATTGTTTAATGACTATTGCAGGTCACATGGGATCCAACATGAGATGACAGTTCCTGGTACACCTCAGCATAATGCAATTGCAAAGAGGATGAACCGCACCATAATGGAAAAGATCAGATGTATGTTTTCACAGGCCAAGCTACCCAAAAGGTTTTGGGATGAAGCTTTGAGGAATGCAATTGATGTGATCAACTTATTACCATGTACAGCCCTAGATGGTGATGTTGCAGAGCATGTATGGTCAGGGAAAGATGTTTCCTACAAGCATTTGAGAGTGTTTGGTTGTCGTGCATTTGCACATGTTCCAGATAATGAGAGGTCCAAGCTGGATGGTAAGAATAAAGAATGTATTTTTCTTGATTACTCACATGATCATTTTGGTTACAGGCTTTGGGATCCAAAAAAACAAAAGGTGTTTAGAAGCAGAGATGTAGTCTTCTTTGATGATCAAACTTTTGAAGATTTGAAGAAGAAGGCCCCAACCAATACTTCTGCAAAAGGATTAGCAGATTGTGACCCAATTACTCCTCCAGTATATCAGGGTGATGGGGGAGATGTGTAGGAAGATAGTGTAGAGCCTGATGTTGATCTACTTGTAGGACATGTTGAGCAAGAAGAAGTTGGAGAGCAACTTCCCGCAGAACCTCAGTTGACAAGATCTTCTAGACAACGTTAACCTTCCAGAAGATACTTTAAGTATGTGATGCTTACTGATGCAGGTGAACCAGAGAGTTACTAGGAAGCAGTTGAAAGTGAGTAGAAAGAGAAGTTGTTAGTTGCTATGTAGGAAGAGATGGATGCTCTTCAGAAGAACCACACTTATGATTTGGTGCTACTACCAAATGGAACGAAGGCTTTGAAGAACAAGTGGGTTTTCAGGTTGAAAACTCAAGAATATTGTTCTCAACCAAAGTACAAAGCTAGATTGGTTGTGAAAGGCTTTAGTCAAAAGAAAGGTATTGACTTTGAAGAGATTTTTTCTCCTGTTGTTAAAATGTCTTATATTCGTGTTGCTCTTGGTATTGCTACTAGCCAAGACTTGGAGGTTGAGGACAGCAACGTGGGAGAAGAAAACAACCATGGGATTCTTAAGAAAAGGAGGAAAACAAGGCAGAAAAGGAAGAGAAAGAAAAGGAAGAAGACAAGGATAACGTAGAGAGACTGTTCTCAATCATCTAGAAGTGTTCTCATCTTAGGTTAGATCAAATCTACAGTAGACTCTTGCTGTGATTACTTGGAAAGGTTTTAGATATTGTAGGTAGTGACGTGATCCTTGTATCCCAGTTATTCTCTTGTGATTGTTGCTAATGTTTAGGACAAAAGATTGAGATTTATATATTCATTATTCTCATAGTGAATTATCTCTAATTTGTCCCGTGATTTTTACCCTTCATATTGAAAAGGTTTTTCACGTATATCTTGATGTTCTATTTGATTGTGGTTCCATTTAATTCCGCTGCGTATTATAGTATTTTAATACTTGTTCATATACAAAGATTATTCCTATTTATATCCCAATCACCATCATTTATTTGAATGAAAAGGATCCGTTCAGGTTGAGTGCAAAAATCAACTTCAACAATATTACATTATTGAACAGCAGAACGTAGAACAAAATTATGAAAAATAACGCATACATGAAAAATATTGGGCATATGACGTCATAAGTATATAATACAATAGAATGTGCAATGGTGTTGACAGCTATAAGTTTACTCATCTGTGATCAATCAAATCCACAGCTCAATCTTTTCTTCTATCACACAAGATTTATAGTGAAGGAGACGTACGGATAAGCCTCAGCTTCACCACCAATGCCAGCCAGGCCAATTTCATCTTCAGATTTCCAATAGGAGCTGAACGGTAAAAAAAGAAAAAGGTTAGTGAGAAAAAACTATGAACTAAGCAAAATCAAGTCCAAATAAGATTTTCAATTAGGTACATCGGTATGATGACTCAACAACTACATATTCTAGAGAATACCTAATCCTAGTTAAATATGGAAATATTAACAACCATATAATATTACCTGTTAACATTTCCACAAAGCTCTTCTAGAATACCACGAACTTTCTTCTCGCTTTTCACCAAAGGTGCCAATACTACAGCCTGTAAGACACCAGCAGAATTGCGTCACAATTTACCCTGGAGATTTCTAATCAAAACAGGGAAAATTGATTTAGTACCAAAAATGATGGTGGCAACCCATATCTGAGAATGCTCTCTGCAAAGACACGAACAGCACAGAAATGCATCCAAGAACTGAAAACCTGCAAGCAAATGCACATGCAGAAGTGATGTATTAAAGCAAAGAATGCATTGGTGAAAGTGTCTGTGTACCATGCAAGTGCATAACATACAACTTAATGCTGGTAGTTGTGTTGTTCTTATCCCTACCAAACTTGAGCAGCACAAATGTACAAAATCCCACATGCTTCTTACAATCATTATATAAAACATACAAGTCCAAAATTCTTTTCATATGTCCATATCTGATACATTTATATGACCACTATCTTATAATTACAGAAAGCATCAGTGCAGGAACAAATCAAAAGGAGAAAATGACGGAAACCAATTAAAACAAAGAACTTTGGTGAACAAAAATGCATCAGCTTAAGGCATTTGCAAAACTTTGCCTCTCTACATTACTCTGACAGCTTGCCACAATTTGTGTTTCAAGTAAGTCGCCAATCTTACATATTTGTGGTTAGCTATCTTCTCTTCATTTGTGAAGTACTGTGTTAAACTTCAATAATTTGACATCAATATGATTGTCAGTGAGCTATTAAGCCAGTGTTTAATTCAATCCTTTCCTGTAACTGGTGGCTGGTGCAGAGGCAAAAGATCATGATACCGTTTTGAAGAAGCACAACTGACAACAAAATTTCTAATAGGATATGACAGACATATTGCACCACACAGAGCCTTGAGCTTTAACCATAGAAAGTAATGTGAAAACAAATCAATAGAATTAGTCATTAGTTACAGATTTATGAAAGAAAAAAATGTACATTCATGAGATTCAAACAACAGCAATTGATAATTGAACATATTGATACAAATTATAATGTGTTTATCCACAATAATTGACATAATAAATCACTATAGTAGTTAATAGAAATACTAAATTTGAGCTGTAGAAGCATGTCTTGGCTTTTACAACCACTAAACAACAGAAAATAGAAAACATCAGCCAAACTGGACATGAAGAAAAGATGTGAGAAACAGAAGGGATATACAATGCAACACAATGACAAAATGATTGGTGACTAAAATATTTAGAAAATTTTTCTCTGTGCCCAGACCATAAGTATCAAGCATGTCTCTGGCGATCAAAAAGGTGGTCTTAAATATACATTCATGGTCTCTTGAACATAACTCATAGACATGGAAACAGCAACATATGGATTGTCTACATTACCCAATTTTCGAACACCAACTCATCAAAATTGTAGTATATATGGACATATCTTGGTACCAAACTCATTTTAGGAACAAACTTGCTCCAGTTCCTGGTCTCATATGACAAGCAATTTCTACTGTTATTTCTTTTTTTTTCTTCACTTGATCAAACTGGTCTTTTTACTCAATAATTATATCGATTCTCTCCTTCTGAAGTTACAATCTATCATTGCCACTTTACGAACATACAAGAATCATTATAGTAAATGTATCCAATCAAACATAATTAATGCCTAGAAGATGGGCATGTATACTTCTATACAGATACAGGAAAGTTACCAAGAAAATAGTAACCATCTTCTATCTTTTAAAATATCAATGGTTCAGTCATGTACCATAATAAACTTGTAACAATTTTGTGACAGTGGACATCACTGCTTTAAATCTTCAAAATTGAATAACCAGAAACAAAGAAATAATGGCAGAATTGCAGCATAAGAAGATTCAATAAGCAAATTAAACTGAAACGTTAAGTGTACCTCTCCATAACTGGCATAACACCATTGTAAAAGAGAGCTCCTCTTGCTCTCCTGGTCCTGTATTAGTTTTTCAAGCTCTTGTTTCCTACTCTCTTGTGCTTCTGGACTATACTCAAACTCCCGAATCTGAGCCACAAGAAGCATAAAACTAAATTCATTAAAAACAAAGTGAATAAAGAACACCAGAGAACTTGACCATTTAAAAATCTCAAATGAAAAGAAATGCACATCTGTGAGTTCTCTGACAACTCTAGGAAAGGTTCTAACATGCTGATGAACTTCGATGTTTCCTCTAAAGAGACACAAGATAACTAAAGCAAATCTTCTTGCGTAAAGAAACTTGCCTGAAATCCTTTTTCACGTGCATTATTCCGGAAGTTGTCAGCAACCTTCTGAAAGAGTGTCACGGTATAAAGAGCATACTCATTATCCTCATGTAACTTCTTTGTTGACCTAGGCACCTGAATAAATTCAAGTGGCTATCAAGGGTTAAATTTACATCAGAAGAGCAAATGCTCTTCAATTCCAGTTTACAGTCTTCAAAGTAAATCCTTGTTTAGCTGTATACATATGCTGATTGATACTCTTTTATATTGAGCAAACAAAATTTATCATTTCATGTGAGACAAAGGAAAAAAAAAATCTGCAACAAAGTAATAAGAGTTTAATTCAGTACATGTGAGACAATTTAAGTCACCAAATTTGCAATTTACAAGTCCGCAGACCCAATTGCATACTGAGTCAGAAGTAGCTGTTTCATTTGTTACTTATAAGGCCCAAAATAAGAAAGAGCTTGAGATTAAGTCCAGAGAAAGTAAAATAAAGCATCACCAAAGCATGATGATGTAGACAAAGGTACATACGTAAAACATCTATATTACAGGTTATACCAAAAAAAAAATATTTATACATGTCAGAAAAGAAATCTACCAATGATAGATTTCAACTATTATGCCCTTCCAAACAAAATAATAAATAAAAATACTCAAGTGTCGATTTACTTTGATCTGATGAAAATGAAACCACCCAGGTTGCACAAATGCTGCATCCAATTTGCTGTTAAAATAACAAGGTATAATTTTCCTAACCTGGCAAACAAACTTCATCCATTTTCATTTGGTTTTCAAGAGTGGGTTATCAAGATTAACAAACAAAACGAGATTTACCCAAGTTATCTAGGTTAAACCACTTTAGCTGAGTTAATTTAGCCCTACCTAACTCTATAGACATTTAGTGAATTAAACCAATAACCACAAAGTTAAACCCTTTTAACCCTGAACTGAACACAACCTGACAAATCCAAAGCTTGAATGTAAATATTTAATAAAAAAAAAGGAAGACATGAACTGAGACATAAATGATAAATATCACCCTACTGTTTGCTATTGTGAAACTGAAAGCAAGCACAGACAGCTGTGCCCATTGTTTATGGCATTTGTGTACCAAAAATCCCATACCAAATATGTTGAGTTCTATCACAGGATTTCATATGTTTAGACTCCCAATAGTCCCATATCAGAAGACACTGATGAGTAACTTGATATGAGTTTGTACCATGTGTCAAGGCCTATATATACAAATTTCTGAAAAGATAAATTAATGTCAGAATAGACCTAGAATCATGAATTTTGTTTTATTAGACCCTAATTGAAAGGGCCCATCCGTGAGTGGTGCAGTGCCATATAATGCACATGTTGCCTACTAAGAAATGATTATGGCCGAGGACATCAAGTCTTCAAGGAGATATGTTACAATAGTCCATTATGATGGGTCAGATTGGTACATAAGAACTAAATGGACCTGCTACTAGTAATAGGTTCAAGAATTTTGGGCATTTGGTAGCTTCTAAAAATGCAAGTATGCCCATTCACTAGCTTTAAATCAAGCAGCCCAGTACCCTGCTAGCTCATACTACAAAATTTTGAAGTTTCAGTTAGCACCAAAGGCTTCTGGATGTTCAATATATCTGGATACCAATAGTGTTTTTAGAAATAAGTCGATGAAGGAGATTGAACAATTGGGTAGATACAGCTGTTGACCTTGGCAGTTGAATAACTGATTTTTTAAGTTTCCAGAAAGGCAATCTTCTTGATACAACAAAAAGATATCTCTATACGGACTTCCAGAGGTTACCACTGTGCAGTTGTTTTCTCATTAGCTCTTTGTATGTCTATGCTTCTGTTGCCAATTTAGAGATCTAGCATAATTAGTTTCCATAAACAATTGTCAGTAAGCCTCCAGTCATGAGCATGTTAGCAACAAAAATGAAGATAAGAAAAGTAAGATAAACATATCTTTTAGAAAAGGGATCTATTATATTTTAAAGACAAATAATTAAATCAATTTATACTAGAATATTTTACCACAAATGTAGTTAATGTTTCATAGCTAGAGAGCCAGTCCTTCTGAGAGTACTTAGGAACTACTGCCAAAAGTGTCACCAAATGTTCTGATGCTACAATATCTTCTGGATTTACCAAATTGGAAATGTCCCGAACTGCTAAGCTGCAATAGACAGAATAACAGCTTGGACTTACATTATAAAAGCAAGCTGTTGATAAAGAAATGGAAATAAAAATCTCCTTTGGTATAACCTTAGAAGATTTTAGATAGAGTTAATACCTTCCACTTTGCTTTCTGTTTATTGCATTAAGCTGACTACGGATATTGCTGTATTCTGCAACACGAACCTGCAGAATTACAAAAACCAGTATAAGCTTTAACATGAAAGCATGACAGTAGCTTTTTTCAAGAACTGAATGATGTATGCTGTCCTGGGCTTTTACCGTCTTTTACAGATCTTATTTGCATTAGAATAAGATGAACGGGAGGAAATTTCCCATGCATGATATTGGCAAATGTAAATTTCGATTTGATCATTGGAGGAAAAAAAGACTGAAGCCAATTAAATGTCACTGTTAAAAAAAAACCCTCTGCAAAAAAAAAAAAAAGAAGTTTCCTGATGTAAACCATCAATCAATGACTGTGTAAACTCTCAATCAATGATTGCCAAAACTGTGCGATGGAAGAGACAAAAACAAAAGATTGGCATACCATTGTTTTCTTACATTTTCTAGTAGTTTCAATACTAAGCTAAACTTAAGTCACCAAAAATCATGGTGTTTGCCCTCCAAAATTAAAACAGACATCTTTTTTTATCCTCAAGAAAACCACAAGAGTATAAGCCATATAAATGGAAATATTAACAACAATGGTACAACAAGCCGGAAAACTGGGGTCAGAACTTCAAAACTGCAAGAACCTTTGGTTATAATTCAGGCTTTCGAAACCATGTATGTAGTTTTGCTTATTTCTGGTTTCTCATAGTATAAGTCAAATCTGAATGATCAGAAGACTGCTTGGAATAATCTCAGGCTACAAACAATAGCAGCAACGATTAGCAGTAGCTTTGCTGCCATAGCAGTTCTGCAAGCAATGAAAAGCATAATAACAAAAGGTATGTTTGGAAAGAGACAGTGAGCAAACAAGTAAAAAAACTGCTTCCGGTAGAACTTTTTCTTTAGTCAAATATTTATCATTAAGTACTCACCAAATTGGACTATAATTAGAGCCAATATCCAAATGAAACAACAGTCAGATCTAACAGAGGTACTTGCGATAAATTCTGACTCATATAGGTAATATGCAAGTCGATATTTTATTCCAGCCCTCTGCCAAATGAAATATGCAATTTTGTAAAATTTATATGTGAAAATAAAGCACAAGGCCCCAAAGATTTGAAACATCTAGTAAAGAAACACCATTCCCTGATGATCCTAATTGCATTGACCTAACTAGTATATTGTTCTTGTTTGTTCAAAGAATTAAGCCACTACATGTGAAGATTATTCTTCTTTTGATACATTTGCATGTGGAGATTTGGTAGACAGAGGGGTTTAATTCAGTAGGATGCTTCATCCTTGAGAGGTTCATGTTAACCAGATCTGGAACAAAAGATTGTAATGTTAGATTCCTTCACAGTAGTAACGAACAGGAATTGGTAGATCATTAAAAGCATCACCAGGGTAGAATTCTAAGTAGAGCTAACTATGATCTCTTTGGTATTATATGCAATCTAATTCATAGTTAAGCATAATTAACCAAAAAAGATAATATTATTGCTAGCTGAAATATAATAAGTGAGAATTTCTAGAAACACATCTGATTGAAGCACAGTGGACTATCAACAAATATCTTTAAGGAGAGATCTATCAAAATGACCTTCATGTCGTCCTCAATTTTAGCCACTTGGACATGAATGCTGTCAACGAGTTCCCTCAGAGGAGACATCGTGGGATACTTTCCTTCATCCCAAACAAACCTGCCATTCCATCGAAATCATTAACTTTCCCAGTGGGGCTGCCATTACCAATAACTTAGATCATCAAAAAGAGAAGACGGAAAAAAACACTCGGATTCATCGTTGATGCACAGAAGACCGACCTCGTGAGGTATGAATCGATGGGAACCCCATCCACGGTTAAAGCACCAACCTCTACGCCCGACGCCTTCTCGAGCTCCTCGATTTGGCGTCGGATCTTATGAGTAACTCCTTCTATAAAAGCATTCGACTGCAAATCCAAACCCAGCAAATTCAACGTTACAGCAAAATTAAGTCTCGAAAGCTCCAAACATGCTAAAAGAATCACCTTGACGAGGTCATCACTGAGGGCGAGAAGGGAATCTAGGGTTCCGACTCGCAGATCCGGCATGGTAAACTGCGACCGAGAACCGAATCGATAAGAGACTTAAACCTGAAGGAACGGTAACAATAACAAGAGCGAGAGACAGCAAGAAGGGTATGGGATGGATTACACGATAAAGCGGGGTGTCGAAGGAGTTCTTGGAGATGGATTGGCGAAGGCGATTCCAGGTAGCGGAGGCGGAGGTGTGGACAGGGAGGGAGACAATCCAATACCTCAAGGTGGCCGCCATTGGCGCTGCGATTTCGAGACAGACCAAAGAGGTTTAATCACGCAGGCAGAGGAGGAAGCGATGGCAGGTAGCTGCCCTTCCCCGTCCCCAAATCTTCTTTGCCCTTTTTCTAAAACAAACGCAAGAAACAGACACACAAAAACGTTGCGAGCCGGAGCTCGCACCTGCGCTGCATCGTCTCAGCTCAGCGGCACCCAAGTATGTGAGCCGGACCCCAAGTATGTAAGAGTCGCGGTTAAAGAAATATGTTCCTTTATCGATGAACTTTAACCGCTTAATGCTCAAACATCACACCAAGTATTTAGAAGCTTAATAAGTATTTTATGAGCATGGCGGTGATTATTATAGTTGATTAGTTAAGCATGCATAAACCCAATAGATATGCTTATGGGATCCTTTCCGAACATGAGCTCCTCTCCACCAGGACACTAAGAGTCGAGTAGTAAAAGAAGGCAGATGGACAATAACGTAATTTGCTCCTCCATCTTTAAAGGTAGACTTGCTGCGACCAATAAGACATCGAGAAAATTGAAATGCAAAGGTCTTGCACCGACTCCGGGCCGCTGGGCTGGCATGTCACGGTTTCCGTCACTTCACCCAGTTCATTGGCACGAGTGAAGATGCTCGTGAGCTCAGACGTCAGCAGTTTACATTCGAGGGATGGTGCGTACATATAGTGTAACAGATGATGTTATCCCAGCTCCTCTGCTTAATTAAATTCGTCAGGTGGTTTTGTGCGCGTGTGTCTGCAGATAGGCCTCCATCGCAGTCCTTTTCGGCACGCCCAGGCCGTGAATCTCCTCCACGTACCTTAGCACCCAAGCGGTCCCGTACCTCACGCAGTCTCGCTAAAGCATCAGGAGTATATAGCGTGGAAGGGCGAAAAATGGACATCCAACGAGACTAACATCAGACAGGCCCGAGTATTGTATATGCGCCTAACATATTTCAAGCGCGCACCACGTTGTCGTCATCCCCCATCTGGTATATATGTTGACAAGGTTTAAATGCTAAGGAACGCTCACGTCCATTATCCGTAGCTATAAAGAAGTAATTAATAGCTGCGAGGTTTCAGCCTAGCCATGCACTACAATTCAATCATTCCAAGTTAAGTTTCATGTTGGATATCGTTTTCGGAACCAACGGGACTTGATCTAACATGGGATTCCCAAGGGACGATCAGGAAGCCAAAGGTGCTTGCGAGTTGCGGCTGCTAAAGCTTCATTCCAGCAAGTTTCATCTGAGTCCACAAGACCAAGATCCACCACTTTCATTTCAACAAGGCCCCCTACTGTCATCAAAATCTTCTGATCCAGCTTCCATCATATCGTTCGCCTTCTTGCTTCCTCGATGATTAAGTTCTTGCAAGCAGAGAAACTTGCTGGATTGCAGAAAACAATATCATCCTCTCCAGTTTCGATTCCACTATGGAGATGCGTATCCAAACCGGAATCAATTAGATATTTTATATTGCTACTTCTGAGGGGCTTAGCGAAGTAATGCATGGCGTAGCATTGTCATCAGCCACTGAAATTATCAGGAATGAAGCATTTCAGCTAAACAATTGATCTCAATGAAAGGTGCATACCCACTGCTATGTCTACGATAAGCCTGTATGCTGAGCATTTGGCCTCAAAAGCAGATCATTCATCAAACAAGAGTCAGCGGAATAAAGGACCGATTCAACCGAAGAAATGATGATAGTGAAGTCCTGCACAATCTCATGCAGTAAAAAGCTTTCATTCAATTCATTCACACTAGCTCCGATAAATCAGTTGCATAAATTTGATCAAACAAAAAAGGTTTCAGAGAGCAGTCGTCGCATCAAAAATGCGAAACAACCATCATGGCCGAAATCACAGGGGAGAAAGGCCTGGTGAGGTTACAACAGGGTGTTTATGGATGTGTGCCTACACCCCCATGTCCGAACCTAATCCATTGAGTAGCGTCGGGGACAAGATGCATTTGCCATCCGACGATGGTTCCAAATAATCCGTACAAAGGTGAGTTGTTGATGACTAACTAGGTTGGATATTGATACAATTATAGAATCTTAAATTTTGATGATGAAATTAATTTTGTGAATTAATGATTTAATCTATGTGTTGAGATAAGTGATGCAAGACTAATTACGATCGTGAAAAAGGTAAACTAATTAAAAAAAAATTGAATGTTGGGCCGGAGCTAATGATTGGGCATCAGGTCCGATGAATCGGGGGATACACCGAAGGATTGGATGATGTAGTGAAAGCTCGACAGAAGTTCACCAAGAGTTCGTCGAAAGCTCGCTGAAAGATTGCCGAGAGATTGCCAGAAGTTCACCGAGAGTTCGGTTGAACAATTGATGTGTCGGATAACTTAGATTACTTGTATCGTAATTGTATTAGCCTTAACTATTGTAGTTAAGACTTTATTTTGAGTTAATTTTAGAAAAAATCCTACTAACTCAATTAGGGGCTAACTGGTCCTAAATAGGACTGAATTGAGCTGGTTGGATGGCCCATTCAGCCACTTGGAGTTACATCAGGCGGTAGAGCTGCCTAAGGCTCAACCTCCTAGGTGGTTTAGGTGATGGTACCTATTGAATATTGGATTTTGATGATGAAATCAATTAGTAAAGTATTTGATCTAATCCATATGTTAAGATAAGTGTTATAGGATTAACTACGATAGCAATGAAGGCATAAAACAGATATTGGGCTGGATTCAAAGATCAGACGATACGTCGAAGATTCGGACGATGTGCCGAAAGTTTGTCGGAAACTTGCCGAGAGTTCGTCGGGAGCTCACCGAGAGATCGTCGGAAGTTCCTCGAGAGTTCGTCGGGAGTTCGCTGAGAGTTCGTCAGGAGTTCGCTGGAAGTTTGCTAGTCATATGTGCCCTACAAGCTAATCATGTGAGTGATGGCATGTGTGACTTGACACGTAGTCTTTTTGCTTATTATATTTTGGCATTTTATCACTTTATATTGACTATTGCATATATGTATATATATATTGTGATGTCTTTGGATCTGTATAATGTGAATCGGATCGTGATGAGATCATGATAATGAGATCGATTCGCCTTTAAACACATATTCTAAATAATCCCGGTCATAGGTTACTTGAGAGGGATATCGAAATAATCGGACAGATTGGTATGTTGTATACCCATCCATATGATTGATGCAGTCGGTCTCATAGTTGCTCATGTGGGGACACTAGGGATACAATACAAGTGCTCATTGGGGAATGAGTTCATTGATTGATCCGCTTACGGAATGTTGGATGGTTGATGATGCTTTATTATCAAACAACGATTCCATGGTCCCAATGGTGTATCTGGTCCTTAGACTTGAGATACCAAGGATGTTTTGTATGAGTGCTCCACTCTTCGATACCGGACTTATAGGTTTGGATGTCCCAGATCTAGCACAACCGGTGTTCGGGAGTGGTAATCAACCTTACGAGGGCTATTGAGTGTCGATAGAGGATCATCTACTCTCGGTGTTATTAGAGGAATATCCCATGTGTTCTTGCTCAGACAAATCCCTAGCCAGGGTCATTCGGATTGAGAGAGAAGGAGTTCTTCGGGAGAATCCGATTAGAGTAAGACTCGAGTAGAAACCGTATGAGTCTGACAACACTATGCCCAATATATGGTGTATGAGATATTAGATGGATGAGGGACTATAGTACATGGTAACTGAGGACAGACAGGTCCAATAGATTGGATTCCCCTATATCATCTAGGGATTACGGCGTATTGGCCTAGTACGTCCGCAGTCGATGAGTCGAGTGAATTATTATGGAGATAATAATTCACTGAGCCAGAAGGAGTTCTAATAGGTATGACTCACGGCCAGCTCGATATTGGGCCTAGAGGGTCACACCCATATGGTAGGCGTTGCGATTAGTAGAGGTTCGGATATGAGATATCCGTCGGAGCCCCTATCTTATTGGATATCCAATAAGCCCCTGAATTATTGGATCCCATGGATGAGATCCAATAAGAGTCCATGAGATATTATTGGATAGAGATCCACTAATCTAAGAGGCTTGGGTAGTTGGAAGGAGATCTAATACCCAATAGGGGAGGATCCATTAGGGTTAAGTTAATAGGGGACATCTATAAATAGGAGAGATTCAATGGTTCATAGGCTAGAGCCTTTGCTTGCCTCTCCTATTCTCCTCCCTCTCTCTACCTCAAAGCAGGCCTCGAGTTTTGAGGAGTGTTGTCACGGCCCTACTATGTGGATCACTGCTAGAGAGGAGGGCGCTTGACCTCCTTCACCCTCTCCCAGAGATCTGCAAAGATTCAGGGATATACGATCTTCCTACGTAACACAATCTATTTTATACGTAGTTTTAGCTTTCGTGGATTTTGTGCACCAATCTTCACATGACAATGAACATACCTTTGGGAATTGAGGATTTTATTTTCTGTTCTTCCACCACACATGTGATGTCGCCCTCAAGATTTTTCAACAGTGGTATCAAAGCTAGGTTATTCGTGCGATATATTGGTTTTGAACTACGTGTGTTGTGTTTTGGAGAAGCTTTTGGCGTCAAAATCGTTAATGCAAAAGCGAGAAAGGGTAGCAATTATTGCTGCCCTTGCTGCCGTCGCAGATGGCAGCATTGTCATCTGCGTGTAGGTAGGCCGCCTGCAGTGGTAGTCGCAAGGCCAGTCGCGTGCAGGCAAACCCCTTGCAGCGGCGCCCGCAAGTAGGGTCGCATGTGTTGAATCTCGTATTTTGATGATGAAACTACTTGATATATGTTTATGATTTAATCTGTGTTTTGAGTGACGCAGGATGCTTCGATCAGGATGAGACAATTAAAGCAGGAAAATCATGTTGTGCCGGAGGAACATGTCAGAAGATTGGACATCGGGCCGGTGGATCGGTCGACATATCGACAGAAGGCTTCGGGCCGTGGACTCGGGCATCGGGCCAAGAAGAGCGGGTATTGTGCCAAGGATATCGGAGTTGCGGAGCCAACTGGCCGATTGGGTAATAGGCCGCAGGAAAGGACGATGCGTCGAAGAATCAGACGAAGCGTCGAGGGACCAATGACATGCCGGACAACTTGGTTAATTTCTTAGGATTAATTGTCTCGATCGAAGTTTTGTTTACATATGCAGGATTAACTACGATGAAAGTAAGACATGCAGTAGGAGTTGCGCCGGAGTCAAGACAATGATCACGTTGGGAGTTCGAGAGTTCGA